GTTTCTTGTGACGTTAGTGGCTTTTTCAAAGAGAAATGTGACTAAAACAACACAAAGCTTCTTAAATTTTGATCTACGTTTTTGAAAACTGACATTACATTTATAGTGCGACCACCAGTCATCATATAAAACAAAGAACTAAGCATTTATCCTCACATTTAGTCTCTAATAGCAAACAATCTTCTGGAAAATGTAAGAAATAGACCAATATACAACAGTAAAAGTCAACTCTTTTTTTTTATTATGTAATCTGTTGCTTATTTTCTCAACGTATCATTTAGTGTGGTGGACATTTCTGTTGAATAAAACTCAAATTTTGTCTGTAGATGAAGTCACACAAAATGCATGATTTGAGTGCAGTCAGCAAAAATAAAAGGAATACAAACAGTTTGGTGCAGTCAAGGTTGCTACAAGCTACTTTATCCTAAGCTGATAGACAACACAGCATCCTCGAGGACTTTACAGCCTCTGGGATCCTGGTTACAAATCATTTGGATGTGGTTGCATTGTGTGTATTTAATTAGTCATTTCCATCACATTAGCCTATAAAATGTCAGAAAACAGCAATAAATGCAATATTACAATAGTCATATTGTAACTTTGATATCTGGTTGGGTACAAATCTTTAAATTCTTTAGGTTGTAGGTGACAAATCAGGCAGTTTCTTTCAATAATACATGATAGTATACTTCCCCTTCCCTTCTGCAGCACATTATTCTGGCAAATAGGAACCAAAATCACTCTCAGCCAAGTAGTTACTCAAGTGTAATAAATAGAAATATAGATATAGAATAATAAATTGCTGCAACTGATACTGAAGTAAGTGATTTTACAATAAAGTCAGTTGTGCAAAGTCCACAAATGAAAATGCACAACTTCATAAGCAACTCAGTTTTGTGTGGTAACACTTTAACATGTAATGTGTATATTCACAAGGCTACAACAGTCCAGAGCCCAAAGATATGCAGTTTGCTGATTCTTAAGACAAAGCAATGCTGCAAAATGCTTTCCAGAATGTTTGCTTCTTATTTTTTATTAATCAGCTAATAAATTAATCGTCTAAATGTTTGTAGCTTTATCCCTCAAGAAATCCAGACAACAAACAGAATTTCATTCTTATGTGCAAAAATTAAAACCTCATTTCAAATATTATGCTTTCCTGAAGATGTAGATATTTTCAAATCTGAAATATTAGTATTGCCCTCAAACTTTTGTTAAATATTACAATATTTAACTGAGCTCCAGGACTTCCACGCTTCTACATAGGTGTACCTGTATAGAAAACCTGCTCAAAGTGATCCAAGTGAGAGGATTTTGTCTTGACAGAGCTCCTACACCCATAGAAGACTTTCATATGTAGAAAATGTTGAGCTGACATATTGAAAAACTGGAATACTTTGAACCAATTCTCAATGATCCGTAGCTCAAAACTTGAAGTTGCATTTACAGTTCGACATGTTTGACAAACCTCTGTCTGTGTGTCCTGTCAGGGAGCTTGGGGAGGAAGTCTGCTCATGTCCAGGAGACACAGGTGGAAGCTGGACGGAGTCGAGAGGCGAGTAACTGTTTGCTAAAGACGGGGCGAACACAATCAAGGGCGCACTAGAAGCTAACGAGCGTTCGACTTAATGATGAGTGATGGTTGTTTCTATTAACCGCAGGGCCAATTCTGTCACATGGAACCCGCACAAAATGATGTCCGTCCCTCTGCAGTGTTCCGCCCTGCTGGTCAGAGAGGAGGTACGCTTCGATTTGTTTTTTTTGCGACCGCATGCTGCGTAGTCCTGGTTTTTGGTTTGGCTTGACGTGATGCTGTAAACATTCTGCCTCTGATTTCGCAGGGTCTGATGCAGAACTGCAACCAGATGCACGCCTGCTACCTGTTCCAGCAGGACAAACACTACGACCTGTCCTACGACACCGGAGACAAGGCGCTGCAGTGTGGACGCCACGTGGACATCTTCAAGCTGTGGCTCATGTGGAGAGCTAAGGTGGGAGTGGCTGAATTTTCTATTTATGATCATAGACATCCCAGATGGGGTTTTAATACAAAAGCAGTGACACCAAAAGCTTCTTCCCAACAAAGTATTGATGTGTCTGACTAATATTTTTGGTGCAGTGTAATGTTTACAGAAGAACTATTAATGGGATTTAAACCATTTTGTGGTTATTATCAAGTATTAAAGCTGAGAAATCTGCTCTTGCTACTACAATTGTTTTTTGTTTTGGCACTATTGTGTTATTTTGCTGCTTTTTGGCTATTTTTTTTGGAATATTATACAAAGATTTCAGGTGTATGAATACAAAGAGACAATTAATTGGCCAAAAAGTATTTTTATTTTTCTATTCGAGCAAATTCCTTCAGTTTTAGTCCGTGCTGACAGATTTCACAGGCTGGATTCCTTTTTTTTTTTTGACAGGGCACCATTGGGTTCGAGGCTCAGATTGACAAGTGCTTGGAGCTGTCGGAGTACCTCTACAACAAGATCAAAGACAGAGAAGGATACGAGATGGTCTTTGATGGAAAAGTATGTTCACATTTATCCTTCACTCTCCACAAGAATAATTCATGTGCAGCCACAGTAGCTAAAATCAGTCCACGTTGCTCCTCTTACCTCAGTGTATTCAGTGTCATTATGGTTGACTTGATTGGCACGCAGAGTGCTCAGGCTTTGTGTTGGATGAATGCCATTTTTACCTCTAGCCAGCACTATAATGTGCTGCTATTATGCTTAATGAATAGCATAACGGCCTGTAATTGCTCATATGCATATGAATAGAACGGCGTCTGAAATATCCTCCACCCAGCTAAACTACAACACAAACATATGTGGGTATGAAGGGGTTATTAAGCTAAAACTCTTTCATAAAAGGAGTGCTTGGACACCCAGAGTCATTTATAATGAAAGCTCTTTAATGTTTCAAGGCTTATTGTTTTCCTGCTGAGCCCCAAAAAGACTAAGAGCATCATAACCCAGAGGGTGATGAGAAAAAGCCAAGTCCTCTGGGCAATGGCCCAGGTGTTCACTTGTCTGCGCCTCCCATTGAGCCATTAAATCAATCTGATGTTGAATATACTACAGCCGAACCAGCCCAGCTGTATAAATGAGGCTGGTGTGCATGGTTAGTCAGCTGTTGGTAATGAATGCCTTTCCACTCGCAGGCAGGCAGTCGGCTCTAGCGGGGATTCAGATGCCAAAAAATAGAGCTGTGAGGGGCACTCAGAGATCTAGAGAGTATCTGAAAAGGAGGCAGGCTACCTGTCTGATGTTGGGAACACCTAATGGATTTCCGCTATGTGATGTGAATGGCCATTTTCAGTCAAATTCAGCTTTGTCTTGGGCTAGAGTTACTTTTAGTGCTTTTGATTTTGAGGTTTCTAAAGGACTTCAGGCAAGGTTAACATAACATTCTTCATCATGGCTGTATTTGTGTGTGTACTGCTTATAGGTGTAGGTGGTGTTTTCAGAGTGAATATCTTGTGTACAGAGCTGGGTGGTGTGCTTGAAATTGTAAAACTGACAACAATGTTTTTTTAATACTCCTAAATATAACGTTGATCTACTGTTTGGCATCATGAGATGTGATCCAAAAGTTTGGCGTCGGCACCTATTAAAAGCAAAAAACACACCTGATTTAAATTTGGCCTCCATCCACTTTGAAGTCACCTCCTTGTGCAGTGATACACTGCTCCCAGCGCTCCTGCCACGCTTGGAACGCTTCCTGGAAGCCTCATTCTGTAAGTCGCATCAAGCACCATCTGCGACGCCTGCTGGATCCCCTCCACTGCGTCACAACAGCGACCTTTAAACTTGAAGTTCATTTTGGGAACGAGGAAGAAGTCACGGGGAGCCAAATCTTGTGAGCTGGGCAAGTGAGGAGTGATGACTGTGTTGGTGCAGCCAAAAAACTTGTTCAGCACGCTGTGAGCGGGCGCACTGCCATGATGGAACATCCAACTGCTGTCTCACCACATTCAGGTCATTTGCAGTGAATGCTTTCACTCAGATGCCTCAGGATGTTACAGTAAAACTCTCGGTTGACAGTCTGACTCTTGAGGAATGATGCGTAACCCCGGGAATGTTGAAGAATACAACAGACGTGATCCTGGTTTGTTATGGACCTGATGTGCTTTGTTTAGTCTTGGAAACTCTTCCACTGCAGAGATCGCTGCTCAGTTTCTGGGTTGTAGCCACAGAACCAACTCTTGTCTCCAATGAGGATCTTCTGTGTAAAGTTTTTTTTTTTGGCCTTTTTGCTATTATTATATAGGACATTTGAGAGAGAGACAGGAAAGTGGGGAAGAAGAATGGCGGAAGGAATTGCAGCAAAGGGCCATGAGTGGGATTCGGAACTATGGCCACTGCGTCGGGGACTGTAGCCCCTGTACGTGGGTCACCAGCTCAACCAGTTGAGCTATAGCGGCGGCCCGATCTTATGTATAAAGGTTTGGTCATCCTGGGGCCTGTAGATGGAGATCTTTGCAGACTTCGACCACTCTGCTGCGTCATCTTACTTAATTTGGGTGTGACGGAGGTCCCATGCGATGTCATGGGGAATCCTGACTCATGAGATTTCCACATGATGCCTCATTTCTCATTCATTGTTTATGTAAGCAGCAAAGTAATGAATGCATACTTTCCTTAATAGATATGAGGCATCACATTGGCTGCTCCACATTTGCGGAAAGTCTTGCCACCCCTTAATCTCCCAAAATATTCCTAACATCTAACATGCAGATAGATTCAGCAACTGCATGGATTATTTCTCAGCTCAAGTATTTCACAAATTCTGGGGAACTTTTCTTGTAATGTGAGAGAAAGTTTCCAAACGAGCTGCCATGTTGGTCCTGTTTGTGCGGTTGTGGGAGGATGTAGACTGCGTTGGTTTCCTGCTTCAAGGAAAAAAGCGCCTGTGAATCATCTGTTGCGACACCACCTCGTTGCACATCCATCAGTTGTTCAGTGTTGGCGAGCAGTGTGACCTCTTACATCCAAAACTGTCCCTGTGGACACAATTACTGATTGCACCGGTTGCATGTACGTGACTGTGCCACACTTGGAACTTTTGTACACAAGAAAATATTCACATTTAAAGCAAAGAGTGCTTTGAAACTTTGTGTAGGAGTTTCACATTTTTATACACAAACATCTCCCAAGATATTCCGTTTCATATAGTTTGTTTTTTAATGACACAAACATTACAGTGAATCAGCCCAGCTCTACATGTGTTTTTTCTTTGTGTTACCAGTTTATTCCTCTCACCTCTCGTCGCCTTTGTGTTCCCTCAGCCTCAGCACACCAACGTCTGCTTCTGGTACCTCCCCCCTGGGATCCGCTACATGGAGGACAAAGAGGAGAAAAAGAAACACTTGCACAAGGTGGGTGAGCCGAGATAAGAGGCCCGACTGCTGTATCTGCCCAAACACGCCTTCCTCGCGCCCTACAAGCCCATCATTCATATCCGGCCCGACCATCACATGTCCTTTTAATTAGAGACAGCTTATACTCGGGATTTAAAAAAACAAAAAAAACTCTGCCATGCACATGAGAAAACTGTCTTAAAATAACACGGTGTCACAGATGAAGGGTTAAAAAGAAGTGAGGCTATTCCAGGTAGCTAGTGTGGCGGCTACTCGGAGGATCCCTCAGCAGCAGGGGCCTACTAATTGACAATTAGGACAACCAGATGGTGTACGTGCCCGCCATGCAAAGACCGCTATACTCTCACTTCCTTTTCTAAAACCATCAAACATAAATCGTTACCATCTTTGTCATACTTCTGCAGATGTTTCCTTTTTGTTTGCGAAAGTTTGGTCAGTCGTCACGCTCCACTGACTAGACTGACTGTTTGGCCAGCTTTTCCACAGACCGAGGGATGACGTAATGCTGCCCGATTAGCACGTTGAGGAGGAACTGGCGGAGCTTTTTCCGCAGTTTCCACTCGCCCTAATGACTCCTTCTAACGGACGAGGAGAACTGGAAAATTGTCAAAAGGCTGATTTGACGAAAATGAGCAGCAAGTTGATTATTTTACAGCGGCCTTGCCAACCGCGATAGGACACCTGCAAGAGATTTAGAAAGAATGACTGATTATGCGATGAGGACTGTAGCGCACACATATTGGAATCTTTTTCACAGAGCTAACCACTCTTACAGACTGTAATCCGACACTGAAACCAACTTTGTTTCCTTGAGGAGTTAGTTGAGTTAGAAGTCTTTACTGATTTTTCAACTTAATACCTTCAGATTTATTAATAATCTCACTAGATTATGCTTGAATCTGTGGTTATATGAACTTAAGCCCTTCAACTAAAGCTGCATCAAAGTGTCACTTTAACTTACTGCATCTCATGTGCATGTCCTGAAGTTGGGTAATTGCTAATTTCCTACTTCCTTTTTATAGATCCTGTAATACTTCCAAAATTAGCTCTAAAATGATATTCCCGAGAAACGGAGATGTTTCCACTCCCAGTAAGATGTCTGGCGTTGGTCAAAACAAGGCGTGTGAGTTTCAAACTTGAAATTGAATCTGCCACCACTCGTCACAGCACAAAATCCACACCGCCGTCAACACTCTGCCGAGCACAAAATAAATGACTGTCACCGCTTTGCTCTCGGAGATAACCTCTCAACTTGGCAGCAGCCAGCGATCACAGCGCCGTGTACCCGGCTGGTGTCAGATTTAGTTGTCAGGCTGGTGGGAGATAATGAACTACATGGATCAGGATCTCAGTAGTCCGAGAGGAAATGCGACTCGTGTAGCTGCTGTTCAAACCAAACAAACAAAACCAAAAGATAATCTGATTACACAGTTTTCTAAAACTAGAAAGAGAGCAGCTGTTTTCATTAGTCATTGTTTCAGACTTGCTCACAACCGCACTCTCACTCAACAAATACGCTTTAGTTAGGATGCTCACGTCAAGGTTTTAGCCACCAATAGGAGTTTTATTCTCACTAACTGTCCCAGCAGAGCCTGAGATACTCAATATTTCCTAAACATGAAACAAAATCCAACCTCATGCTGACATGTGGCGACAATGGAAGATGCAGAGCTCAGGAAATTGGCTATTTAGTTCTGCCATTACATCTACTGTTCCATTGGTTGAAAGCAGCTCAAGTGTAAAGGGTCATTTCACTACTTTTTTTTTAATTTAATGAGCTCAGGTTCACATTGCCTCTTCCAAGCAATCCAGTGTTAGCAACCTAAAATCACATGGACTCGCTCGTTTGTCAATGAAAAATGTGTCCCTTTTGTTTGTTTAAACTATTGTCTGATTTCAGACTGCAGTTTGTTCGATGACTCAACATTTGCAAGTGTTTTCCTCTTTGATGAGAAACCCAATGATTACACAAAACTAAATGATGTAATAATTGTTTAGACTACAGTTACAGATAAACATGGACACATTTAACCGACTTTCTCCTGTATAAGTTGGCTTGGAGCCTTTAACTTGTCAGTGCCCAAGGGCCCAGTGACTTTCAATAAATACCCTTTTCCTGATTTTCTGCACCTGAAGCAACAGTAACTAATGCCGTATGTGTTGCATGTTGTCAGGTGGCTCCGGTGATCAAGGCCAGGATGATGGAATACGGGACCACCATGGTCAGCTACCAGCCACAAGGGGACAAGGTCAACTTCTTCCGCATGGTGATCTCAAATCCTGCTGCTACCTTCCAGGACATCGACTTTCTTATCGAGGAGATTGAGCGACTCGGTCAAGATCTATAAGACTCCTCTCACCGAAACCCTCCTGTACTTTTCCCCCTTGACGGATGAATTGTTTGTCGTGAATGTACTGGTAAACTTTTTCTTTTCTCTCTCTTTCCTTCCAAAGTCACATATTTAAGAGTATATTTGAGAAAAAGATCTACAGATATATCCATATATTATGTATTGTAGCTTTGCCGTGGACTGACTGGGTCCAAAGCTATGTAAAAGTGCTTCTGTCTGCCTTTCCTATAGTGTAGTATATCTCAGAGTAGTGTAAGTGATGTAACTTTATATGTACTTTTTGTGATATGAAATGCTTGTGCAATAAGTCGGTGAGGAAGAGTTTATTTTTGAATCATTTCTCATTTGCCGAGTACGTTGTTAAGTGCCAAACGTGGTTGTGTTCTATTGTAACATTTTAAACTTCTGGTTTAAAAACAAAAATAGCACTTCACCTTACCTCAGCTTATTCAACTGCCTTTACATCTGCACATAGTTCTTCAAAGCAGTGATTTTGGACTAAAATTCTCCTAACCGGTGTAGTACCAGCACACGTTAAAGAACCAGAACAAGGACGCACCATGGATTGGGAAGAGAAGATGAGGGAAAGATTTCACAACAGCAAAGTCAATTCAAAGCATTTACAATCATGTAAGTTCATCGTGCATCGCCTTGGCCTTTGATAGTTTAATCTGCAGCTTGTTTATTAAGACTTTCTACTCTTTGTCCCTCTTCTAGTGTATTTAAGGTGACTGTAATGGCTTGTTGCACCCATTTTGTTTGAACTGGCTACATGCACATATCAAAATGGGAACCATTTCCATCCTGGCTGTATATTTAGCTGTGCTGAGTGTATTCTTACATGTTAGTATAATGACCAACACTTCAGTTATAATCCTTAAGCTTTCTAACCCAGTTTAATGGCCAACATTTTTTTATGCAATAGTCATGCAGTGGGATTGTATCCTCTAATTGCTGCTTTGTGTACTTGTGCTTATTATTACTGGTGGAGAAGTAAGAGCAGTTCACCAGCTGCACAAAAGTGGGCAGGAAGGAAAATCAAAGCCCTGCATGCCAACTAGTATTGGTAATTTGACTATTTGCCATTTTTTCATGGGAATTTGCAATACTGAAGAGTAATATGAATGCTTTGTTAGCTGACTTTGTGGCCATGTCCTTAAAGGAACTCCATGTCAAAGTCTAAAAGGGAGAATTTTATGATTTCAAGCTGAGTTTAAAGCTGTAGTAGGCAGAAATCTTGTAAAGGCCAGAAACCCCAGATTTTAAAAATACTGCCTACTTCCTGCAGCTCTTCTCTGTCTGTCCTAAGGCTCGCCCAACAGACAAACACGGGCGTATGTATGCGCTTCAAATGTGCAATAATAGTCAGAAACAAGCTTTAACTTTCAGCTTGTCACAGGGTTTCAACCCCACTTTCCTGAGTGGTAGTCCAGTGTTTAGCCCTATGTACCACCACTTCTGGTGTCCACTATGGGCTCTCTGTAGTCTTGTGATTGGCCTGAAAACAGAGCCAAAAGAAGGTTCAGAACTCTAATTTCCTCTTGGATTACTTGAATTAAAATAAGCTGAAAGATAATTATGGAATTTGTACCCAATGATGCCAAAAAAGAAAAAGAAAAAGAAAAAAGAAAATACTGCCTACCCAAGCTTTAAATGAACTGCCACAGAGCCACACAGCCACAGTGGATTTAATAAACTACCCAGAGTGCAGTAGGGTCCCAACAGCCAACTCTTGCCCCAGGAACTGCCGGTCGGTTATTTTAGCCATGATGTTAGGGTGCTTTTTGGGGCATTATATGACCTGCAGTACCTTCTGTGGTCACTCTTTCCCCGGCATTGTTCTTGGCCATTCCAACTAGGACCTGCATTATTAAAATGCACTAGATGTTAACATGCCAGGTCAATAACAACGGAAATCTTAAGGATTATAACAATAAATCTCATTTTATAGAGATTTTTTTTGGCAGTCATGTTTTCTGATGAGCACTTCCTGAAAGATCTTGAGAAACTGGGAGCGGGGCAATAACAGTGTTTTTGTTTGGATACGGGAACTTCGCCAGATTTGCAGCTACTGTATACCTGACATCACTTGCACTAAATCATAGTGGGGAGGAGCAGCGTCTCTTAGCATTGCAACTGAGATTTCTTCTGTATTCATTCACGAGCAATATTTGAGTATGGGTCCAATCTATATATCCTGCAAAATATCAAAAGAAATTCAACTGTACAATAGTAAAAAGATAATCAAGTTTCCAGACCAAATGCACAGTAGTTAACAAAAAAGGAAAAAAAAAGAAAAAAGAGAAAAAAGAACTACAAACATGCTTACTGTAGGCGGGTTAGTTGTTGGAATGTGAACCCTGATTTAACAAGCAGAGGTTTTGTAGCATTTTCATTAGAAACCAGTTAGACAAGCACAATTTGCTCAACATGGTCGCTCAGTGTACAATCACTTTTGATCATAGATTGTAAATAGTATTTCAAGATGTCCTAAGTACATATCTTTGTGTATACATACATGTATATAAGACATATAACCAGAGACTATTTGTGAGGTAAAGTTATTCATATTTTCTCTATCTCCAATATAGATTACTTGTATTTTCATCCTGTTAGTCCAAAAGGCTTTTTTCCCCTGTGTGTATGTATGTATGTCAGATACTTGACTTTGGTTTGTGACTCTTCTAGCTATTTCAAAGAAAACGAGTTTCAGGGACTGGCTTTACAGAAATGGACAGATTTCACCTTGAAATACTTACGAGTCTCCGTCAGAGATGCGAGACTCTGGTGTTTGGATTTTAAACGAATATGCAAAGCCATTTTGACTCTGAAACCCCGTGTTTTTTGTGCACAAGTGATACTTGACGGTATGTGCCAACGTGTACCTTAGTGTGTTTGTAACTGTGTTGCCTTAGTATCAATTTTCCAGTATTGTCTAGTTTTCCTCCAGAGGGGAGGATGTGCACTTTAGAGTATGACCTAATAACGTGCAATGTCCAATGGTTGTCCATGAGTTGATGTTTTAAAAAAAAGAAAAAAATTCTGCTCAAAAAATGTAACTTAAGCTCTTCAGTCTGAATGTGTCATGAATCAAGGGTCTGTTGGAAATGAAAGCATTTAAGTTTTTTGTGTTTTTTTGCAGTTTGTAGATATTGTAAAGCTTCTTAACTGTCTCGACGGAGAGTAGCCTAAAGTTTCAACTATTTCCTGCTTATGTTTCTGTTCAGTGCCCCAAACAAAATTGGCGTAAACACTGTGACACAGGCAACATCAGATTTATTACAACGACAAAGGGATCTCACTGTGGTAGTCTTGGAAAGCCAGACACTTCGTTTCTCTTGCTGCTGCTGCTAGACTTGCTTCCTTTGCACGTGCATGCGATGCCTTGCCTATCCAGCTTGTTTGGTATACAGTCTCCTATATATCTATTTCTATATACATATATATATACATATATACAGTACGTGTGGCTCCTGTAATTAGCTTTAGTGTCCAATGTATAGCTTAGCCTGTAGAATAGTGCACTGTCGCTCTAGCCTTTACATGTGATCTCTGTGTCTTGGGCTTCCTGTAAAGTTTCTTTGTGCCGCAAAGCATGCTAACCTCGCCTAGCACTGTAATCCTCTCCGCGCTTGATCTGACTTTCTCTATCCTCTGTCTTTCTGCTTGAAGACTGTCGCAGCTCTGAACGTAGCGTATTATATCTCTATGTGTAGTCCCTCAGCATGTCTCTCTGAAAGCTCTTCTCTGCTCTGCACCTGTATGACCTTTTCTCTCTTTCTCTTCTGCTTCGCCCTCTGGTAGCAGTGACAATGTAACCTCGCGCTTTCCTGTAACGTTTCTTGGCTACCCGCTGTCCTTCTGTTTGCGTGTCTGAGCTGGTATGTTGACTCGTGTCATGGTGCCACAGTGCCACTGATTGTTGTTTTTGCCGAGGCCCTTGACTTCTGTGGGATGTGTGAGAAACAAGTGATAAGGATTTGATTGTCCGAAAAAACCTGCCCCAGTGCAGGTGTTGTTAGATTTTAACAAAGAAATAAAGAAGAAATATACCCTAGTTTCCTGCTTACAAGAAATAATGTTTGTTTATGAGAACAATTACAACCCCTAGTACTCAGAGTGCAGATAATTTCACTGAACATGGTGCAATTTTAAATCATATATTCTGCAAACAGCTGTGCTAGCTTCTCAAACATTCATTTGTCCTGAACTATATGTTACTCCTGGGAAAATAGAAATAAATATTGTCAAAACAAAAATCACGTGCATCTCGGTTCTTTTTCCTCTCAGACGTCTACACTTTTCCATTACCTTTGTGCATGACATAAACATTTATACATTATCCCTGCCTCACATTGGACAAAGTTTAGTGTTATGTGAACAGACAAAGTTCAAACTATTACATAAACTAATGGAAAAAGTCCTTGAACAGTAAAGTGGGACATGAGAAGTGGTACTTTCACAGCAATACAAGGTGAGGACGGCTCAGCGGTGCCAGTAGAGCACTGTTCATGTTTATGTAATCCTTTTCAGACCCCGAAGTTCATATTTTTATTGCCTCTGAAATATAATACTACAATGTCACAATGCAGTGCATTGATTTGGTTTGTGGTCATCGCCTACAGCAACATTTCTAACACAAAATAACCTTGAAAAATAGTATTTTTATGTAAAAACATATCTATACAGCAAAGTTTTAAAAGTATAGGGTATTGGATGCAGACAACAGAAGTGACTACACCCCTGTGCAATGTCATTTAAATGTCAAATGATTCTTAATTGTATGACTTTAACTTTTCCTGAATTCACAAGCACAGCATTTATTATTAATGACAGTGACATAAGCACTTTAAAAAGACTATATTGAAATACACCCTACAAAGTAGAAACTAGATGCAACAAAAGTCAATACACCTGTAATCACTGACGCTTAAGTTAGAAAACCTGCAGTCATTGAAACTAACTAAAATGACCAGCAAATATCCAAACTTTCTCAA